ACTTTTGTCGACAAAACTATACCTGCGTCCACACTACCGCTGAGTTCTGTCGACATAACGTCGACAGAACTCAGCAGTTTTGTCGACGCTGGCAAACCTCATTTCATGAGGCATAACGCCTTCTGTCGACAGAGTTCTGTCGACAGAAAGCGTTATTGCATGTAAACTGTCCTTGCATCTACACTGCCATGTCGACAAAGCAGCTTGCTTTGTCGACAGAACTGAATGTAGTGTAGACGCTCTTTGTCGACAGAAGCTTTGTCGACAGTATCTGTCGACTAAGCTTCGGTCGACAAAACCCTGTAGTCTAGACGTACCCTTAAGGAATATAGGACACAATTACAGTAATTGCCTTCCACATTTTTATTGGTGTACACAGCAATACAATCATACTAAATACATGGACATGTTTGTATTACGTGTTAGATTGTCCTACTGCATTGTGAAGAAATCCTGAGAATAATACAGGGTGAGCAATAGGTACCCATGTGTTAAGATTGCTTAACATTTCCTCCTTATTTTAATGTAGGAAATTATACACACGCACACACAATCTGTATTAAAAGCACATTATTAAGGTTGAAAGTCAAACAAGTTAGGCTATGGCACAATTAAGTTGAATGCATCTTAATTACACACTCTCATCCTGCTTTTCCCTTAGGATTGCTAATAAATTCACTGATGTTTGTGAGGCTGAAATAATTTTGTGTTGAGGAAACTCATTACAAAAGCTTGTAGGGATGTTTAATCATTTTGTATTCAGTGAACAGGTTTCATGGTATTGAGTAAATAAGGCAATAGGGATCCTCCATTCTGTATATTGATTGAGGCAGGAGTCCTGTGTCACAAAATGGATAAACAGATTTTTAAAAATGGATTTAATTTAAATTAAAAATTGGTTTATTTTTTTAAAAAATGGATTTAAAATTGACATGCTATGTTAAATTCTAAATGTATTACTGTATATTAAAATAATTTAAACAGAGAAAATAATATTGAGACATACATTTGCTGCCAAGTATTAAAGAGAATCAAAGTGCTGGGCTTGTGAAAGTCACTGGCTACGCAGATGGAACTAGAATTTGTAGGACTGCTAAACTGGCTGTTGACAGCAGTAGCCTCTTTTGCCAGCGCAAAGAGATTTCTTCATTTTAATTTATGTATCTAATTCAGTTCAATAACTGTGTTCAGAAGCTCATTAGGAATTGAAAAAGAGGAAAGCCTGTTTTTCAGCCAATGAAAAAAATCAGGATGAGAGAGGATGAGATCTACAAGTTCTAAAATCTTGAAGGACATGGTGACATTGTCAGTTCATTAATTACAAATAATACTTCCTTCGTTTAATAAGCCAGTTAATTTTTAGTGCAAAATATTTTAATAAGCTTTTTCCCTATGTATCCAGCACATATTAAGTAGTGTTCTTTAATAAAATGTACGTTTCTAGTTTTGAATTTCCATTGAAATAGAGCTTGCTATAAATCACAAGTAGAAATTAATCATCATCTAGTAAATAAGAAATGCATCATTCACCATTTTCTAACATGTAAAAATGTTAGAATCTAAATGTAAAAATTAAGAATCTGAATCAATGCAGTTCAAACTATTAAACTGTTTAAATACAAGTCTATATGTATAGAATATCCCTAATAAGTAAAAAACAAATAAACAAAAATTAGTGTAGAGGCTATATTTAGTTGCAAATAAACATGTTTTAATGGTCATTAGACAATGAAATTCAATCATTATAAAAATAGGAAAAGTGTACAAATACTAAACACAATTAAAATCTATTATTTAAATCATGGTTTCCTGCTTATTTTAGTAGGAGCCTAAATACCTTTGAGGATTTGGGCCTACGTGACTTGCACAAGGTTACACAGTATTGTAGAATCGTAGGTCCACTCCCCTTCGCTAATGGCAAAATTAAGTATAGACCATCCCTCAAAGGTGTCTTATCTGCTCTTAATATTCTCCAATAATTGAAGTTCCACAACTCCTATAGGCAATTTATTCCAGTGTTTAACCGCCCTGACAGTTAGGAAGTTTTTCCTAATGTTCAACCTGCTTTTGCTACAGTTAAAGCCCATTGCTTTTTGTTCTGCCCTCACTCCTTCTTGTCATATCCTCAGGGGTCGAGAACAATTTTTCTCCCTCCTCCTTGTAACAACCTTTTACATATTTAAAAACTGTTATGTTCCCTCTCTCAGAACGACATACTTGGGTAAATGAAGCACCTGATCTAATAATGGAAAGACTGAGAAGGAAGAAAGAGAATATATGAGGACAACTAGGAATGGGAAAGAGAAGGATGTAAGGGGCAGAGACTTAACAGAGAAAGGGAAGAGAAGAATCCGAGTAAAAGTATAAAGAGAAAATTATTCCAAAGGCAACATACTTTGGAGTAAATGATACTGAGTGGAAACAGAATGAGAAAATAAATTTACTTGGGAGGAGAAAAAAGATGTGAAAGAAGCATTAAATGGGAAAAGTTAATAAATTAACTAAAATTAGGCAGTTATTAGTAAATCTAATTGTTAAAGTATTGAGTGTGGAAAAATTACCTGAAGCAAAAAGATGCTGGAAGAAGAGCATGAGAGGAAGTGAAAACAAAGCGAAATAATGACCATTAGAAGAAAAGAAGAAAGGTATAACAAAGGACAGGGAGACATGGTAACTTAATGTCTGAATTTATGTGAAACTGCATTCATTGAGAAGGCCCTGAAGATTTTCAGTATCTTGCTTTAGTATTTATTTTTTTAAGTAAATTATCATTTCCTTCCATTTTGATTCATATCTCAAAGGATACAAAGAAAACAAAGTACAGGGAAATTTTTAAGTTTACATTACAAACATTGAGGAAGTAACATCTTATCTAGCACTTCCCTTGCAAAACCTACACTGTTTTTCCAAGATCAGAAAGATTTAAGATTTCTGTGAGATTTCACATTTGATGTAACAGGGTAATCATTAACATTACACAGTGAAGACCAGTCTGGTTTTGTAGGAACTCTAAAATCTAAATAATAGTACTCTTGCAAAATTATCTTTGGGCAAAAAGTACTGTATTCATTCATTTATGGAAATCTATCTGTTAATTACTAACGTTTTCTTGATCTGTTATTGGAAACTGGCTTTTCTACTGTGACCATGTTTAAAAAAAAAACCCTTCAGATATTTGTTCAGTAAAAGGGTGTACTTTAAGTAGCATAGGAACTCATGTACTATGTGATGCCAACAATATTATTGCAATACAAACCCCCCTCATTAAAAACAATGAGTCCTATGCCATTTTAGAGACTAACAAACTAACATTGTGTTTTACCCACGAAAGATTATGCCTAATAAATCTGTTAGTCTCTAAGCTCTGGTCTGCACTAGGACTTGATTTTGAAATAATCCCCCAAACATTGAGTTTATATGCAGAGCATCCATGCTACCAAGCTCATTATTTCAAAATAATGGGTCATGGAATTAGTACTCCTTTTCATCAGGAGTACCTTTAATTCCTAAATAGCTATTTCAAAATAACAGTAACATGGACGTTTTGGTGCCGCTATTTTGAAATAATTACTCCCCAGAGTAATTCAAACTAATTACTCCCGAGTGCTTCCTGGGGCTCTGAGTATGAGGTAGCACATTCACATTAGTGGAATCTGTCTCAGACTAATTTTGAGGCTTCCTCGTAGTGTGGGCATGTAGTTCAAATTTGTTAAATCAGGAGTTAAATTGAATTTACTAATTTGAAAATAGTTTCTTAGTGTAGACATTGCTTCAAGTGCCGCAGGACTCACTGGTTTTGTAGATACAGACTAACATGGCTATCCCATAGACTCTTTTCAACTTATTAAAGGAACACTAACAATAACATACAATCTGAGCTCCTGACCCATCTCTATTATTGTTGCATGAAAATTGTTCATTTGGAGTTGATTTCTTATTGCATCTATTTCTTTTAATTTTTAAAAATATGCCATGAAAATTTATGGAATTAAATATGATGGAGGAAGTGAAGTGTCTGAAAGTTAGATGGTGTGTATCTGATGTGGGATAGTTTTCAAAGATGTAACATTTTGCTAATTTGAACACTTGACAATGGAAACTAATTAAGTTCTAGCTGATGTCCACTTGGACTTTAAATGACTATTATTGCTTATGAAAAATTCCTTTCTCACAAGCCATTTCCATTGCCTTTGAATAAACTTTTCATCTGACATGCAGACAATTCATATCCTTTATTTCATATCAATGTTCTAACCTTACCCAGAACCTGAAACATTCAAGTGTTTGCTCAAAACCAAGTCCATTTCGTCTTTGAACATCAGATTAATCTGTCTGTGGGCAAGAAGGATGCCTGTCTAATGCTCATATTTGCCATCCGCATGTAATCACACATTGCCCTGAGACCCAAGAGATCAATAGTACACTATCTGGTCATTTAAAATACTCTTTGCATGGTTTTGATTATTAATTCCACATGTACATCAGCCTTTTCATAGTAGGCAGTTCAATAAGATACCAAATAATAGCACAGCTATTTTGTTATGGTTGAATCCCTTCTTACACACACCTGTTGCCTAATTTAATCTGTCATAGTTAGTATACAGTTAAGTGAAATAATAGTACATGCCCCATATCAGTGCAGACATTATTTCAAATAATTGGTTGGTCAAACTGGATTTATTTTGAGGTGGCTTTGGATGGATAATATCCACTGTCTCTCAATAATGATTGGTTGATTTAAGAATTATTATTTTTATTATTGACCGCAAAATTATTTTGTTTTGTGTATTCCTGTATTGTTTTGGTGTTTTAAAAATCTGATCATTCTGTCTGTTCTACAGTATTTTTGGCTAGCTCTAGCTACCTATCTGCCTTGTCTTTTCAGATAAGTAAAAACACACATCTGCTGGTATGGCCTTCATGTCTCCAGGAGATAGCTGACAAATCAGGTATATACACATGTATCTGTGCAGGAAAAGAAATTAAGTTGATCTACCTTTTGAAGCACTCAATCTAGAAGGCATAAATTAGGTTTAGACACAGGCGATAAAAATTGCCAGAAGTTGAGATTTCATTATTGGAAGAGATTGAGAAGAGTGAGAATATTTAGTTTACCGAAGGAATCAAGAATGGATAAAAGAAAGACAAGGTGGGTGAGACAATATATTTTACTGGATGGAAATTGACCCAAGAAAAGCTATTACATCACTACCTTGTCTCTTTAATGTCCAGGGACCAGCATGGCTACAACGACAACAGTGCACAGGGAAAATATAGATATAAAAATAAGTGAAATTAGAGAGAGGGTAAATGAACTTTCCTATTACATGCAATAATGAAGAAGAGGGGGGTACTTTAAAAAATGAAAGATGTTAAATGCAAACCTAGTAAACTTTTTACAGAATGTGTAATTAACCCATTTAACTTTCACATGAAGTAATTGATGTCAAACACATAGCAGAGATAGAAAAGGATTTTATATGCATAAGGAAAATGACACAATCATTTTATTGGAAGAATAAAAAAGATGTTTTTTTTTAAAGACGGTATAAATCATCAAGGTTCATAAAATAAACTAACTACTAACTGACAAGCATTAGGAAGAAAGTCTTCCTAGTGACTGATTAATTTCATAATTGTCCTCTTCATGGTTTGTTATCCTTCCTTTGTAAACAGCTACATTTTCTTCTGTAAAAGATCAAATATTTGATTAAACAGATAACTGGTTTTATCCAGAATGGCAATTCTTATATTTCTATCAAGAGGAACTGTAAGGAATGGGACTAATTATGAACACACACCAAATCAAAGTAAAAAGCTCAAAATAGGAAAATGTTCATAAAAATTATAATTGGTGTACCACTTGATGCATAAAGTATGAATAAAAACAATATACGTACGGAATGTGTTTTGCTTAACATGTTGGATTCAAACATCAACTTAAAAGAATGGTAATCAGTTTCAGGGTGCGTTTAGACAGCGGCGCTGTTTCGGGATAATTCAGTTTTCCCAAAATAGCTATTCTGCATCTCTTCAGCAAGCCCATTATTTCGAAATAACTCTCGAAATAATGGGCTCACTATTTCTAGATCCCTGTAAACCTCGTTCCATAAGGATTAAGGGACTTTTCACAATAGTGCTTTACTGAATAAGCTATTTCAAAATACACTTGAAATAAGATACACAATTTGCATAGCTCAAATTGCGTAGCTTATTTTGAGCTATGGGTGCAGTATAGACGCACCCTCAGTAAGCCTATAAAAGCTATTAATATTGCTCAATACTGCTTAGAAAAGCATCTTTACATTTTGAGATCATTGTGTTCAAATATACAGGTATGCAGGGGCAAGATTAGAAAGGCTAAGGCACAAAACGAGCTCAAACTAGCTACAGACATAAAGGGAAACAAGAAGACATTCTATAAATATATTAGAAGTAATCAGAAGACCAAGGACAGGGTAGGCCTACTGCTCAGTCAGGAGGGAGAAACAGTAACAGGAAACTTGGAAATGGCAGAGATGCTTAATGACTTCTTTGTTTTGGTCTAGTGGAAAAGGGGGTAGTTTTAGAAGATAAGATTAAAAAAAAGTTAAAAATCACTTAGAAGAGTTAGATGTCTGCAAGACACCAGGGCCTGATTATATGCATCGTAGAATACTCAAGGAGCTGATAGAGGAGGTATCTGAGCCTTTAGCTATCATGTTTGAAAAATCATGGAAGACGGGAGAGATTCCAGAAGATGGGAAAAGGGCAAATAAAGTAACCATCTATAAAAAGGGAAATAAGAACAACCCAAGAAACTACAGACCAGTCAGTTTAACTTCTGTGCCAGGAAAGATAATGGAGCAAGTAATTAAGGAAATAATCTCCAAACATTTGGAAGATAGTAAGGTGATAGGGAATAGCCAGCATGGATTTGTAAAGAATAAATCGTGTCAGACCAATCTGAAAGCTTTCTTTGATAGCATAATGAGTCTTATGGATAAGAGAGAAGCAGGTGGATTTGGTATACCTAGACTTTAGTAAGGCATTCAATATGGTCTCGCATAATATTCTTATCAATAAACTGGACAAATATAACTTAGATGGGGCTACTGTAAGATGGGTGCATAACTGGCTGAATATCTGTTCTCAGAGTAGTTATTAATGGTTCATAATCCTGCTGGAAAGGCATAACAAGTGAGGTTCTGCAGGGGTCTGTTTTGGGATCGGCTCTGTTCAATATCTTGATCAACGATTTAGATATTGGCATAGAGAATACCCTTATTAAGTTTGCAGATGATACCAAACTGGGAGGGGTTGCAACTACTTTGGAGGATAGGGTCATAATTCAAAATGATCTGGACAAACTGGAGAAATGGTTTGAGGTAAATGGGATGAAGTTTAATAAGGACAAATACAAAGTACTCCACTTAGGAAGGAACGATCAGTCTCACACATACAGAATGGGAAGCAACTATCTAGGGAGGAGTACTGCAGAAATGGATCTAGGGGTCATAGTGGACCACAAGCTAAATATGAGTCAATAGTGTGACGCTGTTGCAAAAAAAAGCAGACATGATTCTGGGATGCATTAACAGGAGTGTTGTGAACAAGACATGAGAAGTCATTCTTCTGCTCTACTCTGCACTGATTAGGTCTCAGTTGGAGTATTGTGTCCAGTTCTGGGCACCACACTTCAAGAAAGATGTGGAGAAATTGGAGAAGATCCAGAGAAGAGCAACAAGAATTGAATAAAGGTCTAGACAACATTACCTATGAAGGAAGACTGAAAGAATTGGGCTTGTTTAGTTTGGAAAGGAGAAGACTGAGAGGGGACATGATAGCGGTTTTCACATATTTAAAAGGTGTCATAAGGAGGAGGGAGAACAATTGTTCTCCTTAGCCTCTGAGGATAGGAGAAGAAGCAATGAGCTTAAACTGCAGCAAGGGAGGGTTAGGTTGGAGATTAGGACAAACTTCCTAACTGTCGGGGGGTGAAACACTGGAGTAAGTTGACTAGGGAAGCTGTGGAATCCCCATCTCTGGAGATATTTAAGAGCAGATTAGATAGACATCTATCAGGGATGGTCTAGGCAGTACTGGGTCCTGCCATGAGGGCAGAGGACTGGACTCAATGACCTCTCGAGGTCCCTTTCAGTTCTAGTATTCATATGATTCTATGATCCTCGTAATGAATAGGAATGTTGGTTGTGTTGGTGATTATATATGCCAGCTCTGCTGAAATAATATCAATGAGTTTTTCTTATTTTATTTTGTTTGGTCTAGTTATTAAATTTGCATATCTGAGCAATGTCACAGGTAATGACTTCTAAAATTAGCATAACCCTGTAACTTTATTCCAGAATAGCTCTTTGGGACAGAGATTATCTTTTTTTCCCCCCCTGTGTTTCTACAGGGCCTATCGCAATAGGGTCCCAACCCATGACTCTGGGTTCTATGGCTATGTCAATATTAATAATAATAATAGAGCTGCTTGTTTCTTGGGAGAACAGGGAGCTCCTTTACAAAAATTTATCATCTCACTCTAACCTGAACATGCCTAAAAACCAGGCTGAGGAGTAAGCTTCCTTTTATGCTAATTTGAATTATTCCTGAACAGGTCAGCTCAAGACAGTTCTGTGGCATATGCACAAAAAGGCTCCATATTTGTTGTGCTAGACAAGATTACAAATGATTAGAAGAAATCTAATTAAAGTAATTAAGGCCTTGATTCTGCTCCTATTGAACTAAAAAATTGCATTGTCTTGAATGGTGAAGGTTTTCAGATGATACAAAACAGTGGTGTGATAATGCTATAATATCTTTACAAAAAAGGAAAATTTTAACAATAATTAATAGAATAATAACAATTAGGTCTGTCTTAGCACTTTTCATCAGTACAGGAAAAGAAATGAAGTTGATCTACCTTTTGAAGCACGCAATGTAGAAATTAAAAGAGTGGATCAGTGCACTTCACAAAAGTACAGATTGATTATTCTATTGTACAAATGGGGAAATTGAGATAGAGAGATGAAGATAATTGCATAAAGTCACCAAACAAGGCAGTGACAGATCTGGGAGAAGAACCAAGGTCTCCAGTACACTGTCTACTTGGCTGCACTGGTCTGATTGTGAAAGAGTTCTGAGTCGTGTGTAGAGCCCTACCAAATTCATGGCTGTAGAAAATGTCACTGTATGCAAAATCAGATTTTTCCCCATGAAATGTAACTATTGTAGGAGAGGGGCAGAGTTGGGATCCCGCCATGGATCGGGCTCTAGCTGCTAGTCCTGGATGACTTCTTCCCATGCACTTGGCTGCACTGGTCTGATTGTGAAAGAGTTCTGAGTCGTGTGTAGAGCCCTACCAAATTCATGGCTGTAGAAAATGTCACTGTATGCAAAATCAGATTTTTCCCCATGAAATGTAACTATTGTAGGAGAGGGGCAGAGTTGGGATCCCGCCATGGATCGGGCTCTAGCTGCTAGTCCTGGATGACTTCTTCCCATGCACGATTATCTGCTCCTGCTAGAGGAAGCGCCGTAGCTTCTGCCTTCAAAGCACAGCTCTGAATGCAGCACAGAAATGCGGGTGGCATTTTTGTGATATTTTTTCTCACCCCTACAACAGCTTTTTGACCCCTCCACAGGACTTCAATGGTTACATTGCCTTAAAATTTCAGTTGTAAACACTTACAATCATGAAATTAATTACTTTAAAATTCTACGGCCAATGAATAGGGACTGTGAATTTGGTAGGCCCCCGTACATATTTAGTGGACTGTCACTCACTAAGGGTTAAATAAATTTGTGATAGCAAATTATAGTTATAATTCTCACTGATAATTGTGTGTACAGATAAAATATAAATAAGATAAAGTTTTGTGTAAAAATAACATTGTGCATGCTGCTTATTATCTGTCTTTTTTGTTTCAGTCTGTTCTTCCTTTGGATAATCTTTTTGTTATTATACTGAAAAAAATGTGATCTCTTTCCCCCCCCCCCCCCCCCATGTTATATTATATCCTGGTCAATGACTAGAGATCCTAGGAGGAGTAATAGTAGTAATGATAATAAATAATAATAAAAATAAATGCCTATGAATAATATTAATAAATATTATATGTAGTAATATATATACATAAATAATATGAATAATAATATATAACT